AACATACCGAAATCTTACCCAAATATACTCAAATAAAGCCAAATCGATTTACAGGAACGTGCCGTAACGGGCCCTGTATTATCATGGACGTATATCTGTTATATACGTTCCTGGTATTATATTTTATTACTAATAAACGATATACACATGATCAAATAGACTATCTTTGTCTAATTTTAGCTTCCATTTACTAAGGCAATTCATATAAATTCCGTAATACCATATAGGCTAACGGGCAGAAACGGACAAAAATGAAGCGGGAACGAATTTGTGTATATTTGGGTACGATTTGGCTTTATTTGGGTATATTTGGGTAAGATTTTGGTATATTTTGGTAAGATTTTGGTATATTTGGGTGTATTTGGGTATATTTGGGTATGATTTGACTTTATTTGGATGCATTTGGGTATGTTTGGGTATATTTGGGTGTATTTGGGTATATTTGGGTAGATTTTGGGTATATTTGGGTACGATTTGGCTTTATTTGGGTGTATTTGGGTATAATTGGGTAAATCGTCACGCCGCCTTTATCCTCTTATTTACTAGTAAAATTCACTCGCGGTAAATAAACAAAGCTTCTTATTAACAAATGGATAACGAAGCAGTCCATGCTTGTGATCCAAATTAAAATTCGCGCCTATTCTTTACAGTTATGTACATGTCATTATAAAAACTAATTTCATCCATTATTTTCACTTATGTTCAAATTACGTTGCATGGTCGTGTTCGTAGAAACAGTCGGACATTCTGTTGGTTTAATCCCTGTTCAATATAACTTATAATATATGATCGACTGCTCGACATATACCGATAAACAGTTGGAGTGATACTAACAACGGCACCACATCATCGGAACTTTCACAGCGACGTACACATACCAGATAAAAGCACATATCTATGTATTAAGATAAAATCACAAATTCTACCGCCTGCACACAAAAATGATCTACCCGGGCTTAAATGCTTATTATCATTGATGTTCATTGCTTTCCCTTCCACAACACACACACACAAAGCATAAGAAAAGTCAGTGTGTGGGGTATATTAAGTTGTATTATGTGATAACAGCAACCAATAGCTAGTGCAGAATTCGTGATATCTGAAAGCAATAACTAGCGCCGAATTATCTGTACTGACGTCCTATCTTTAAAAAAATTGTGGTATCTGTCAGATAACAGACAGTCTGTGTCGCAGTTGATAAATGTCTAAATTAAGCCGTTAGGCGTGTTTGCTATCAAGCATGTTTTGTTCACTTCATTGGTCGAATTCCAAATTTGTCAGATTGACAGTAGGTAACGTCTCATCCTACACCACCTGGAACCATGCAAGAGCAAGCTATCGAAGTCGTGGCTCTTTCGGAAAGCATTTTCATATTGGACAAAAGTTATTTTTGCGAACCACTCCAGATATTAACCGTATATTCTTATTGCCAATTTAATAGATTAGATAGAATAAGGACATTGAAGATGTGTAACAACTCTATAGAATGTATATCAGAAATGTTAACCTTATTCCCGACATACCGATACATTATCCGTTAACATCCTATCGGTCAAACAGGGCTTTTCAATTGATTTTGTGTTACTAAAACTTTGTCTTGTACATTTTAACGTATTATTAATGAAAACTTCGGAACTTTTACTACTTACAAAAACGTCAACTTAATGATAAATTCGTAGTAACTTCACAAAGTCCCTTTCAATGTATGAACTCGAAAGATAAACACTTTTCTTGTGTTTATTTTAGGGTTCATTAACCGACATGGACATCGGACGTTCTCGAATACCAAATCAACTGAATCGCGTTTTGGACGGATACGGGTTTTCCAGAAGCTTCATCGATTATCGTAGAAGAGCATCTAACCTCTTTCATCCTTTCCCAAAAGCTGATTTCCACATGATGTGTGTTGGTAGCAAAAGGGATGCTTTTTGAATTTTCTTTTTGCCAGTACTTACATTTGATGAAAGCAGTCTCGACGCAGCCAATGATTTTATTTCATCTAAAGCCAACTTAAAACTCCCTGTGTTACTTTTGGAAAGTGGACCAAACCATGGATACAAATACTTGCAATGCTTATCGTATGGGTCTCAAATCCTCCCGAAAGATTGCACTAAATTTAGAGGAGGGATATACTTTCTTAACACATACAAACAGAATTCGTTGCCTGCGAACCAACTTGATTTTGTGTACGAAACTCATGGGCCAGCTGTTCATGGTACCGTGTTGTGTGACGAAAGAGAAAATATCAGTTTAGAGGTAGATGCTGTTTTAGCCTTACATTGTCCCTTTCTACCTTTTGAATTCAACGAATGGTGTAACAGGAAGAGGAACTACAAATGGCCTCCCGGGTGGATTATAGATGCTACAAAGAAATACGGCTGTCTCGTTGTTGCTGTTGGACACAAATCTAGTGACACAGAAGCGTTGGAGTGGCGTTTGTCTTTGACCAAAACGGAGTGTCTCCTTACTAAATCATTCAATCATGTTCAGATGAAATGTTACGTTTTGATGAAATTGGTGTTGAAGTGGATAATCCAGCCACAAATGAAGGAACCACTGAGTTCATACCATGTTAAAACTGTAATGTTCTGGATGTGCGAGGAGCGAGAGAGAGATTTCTGGAGACCAGAAAATCTGACCGGCTGCTTTATTTCTTCTTTGATGAAGCTGAAATCGTACGTGGAAAACAAAAATTGTCCGAGTTATTTCATGACTAATGTTAATTTATTGGAAGGAAAACTAGAAGGGGACATTCATAAAGAAATCCTCGAAATCTTGGGTGGTATCATCGCAGAAGGCCCTACAGTGGTGTACCGATGTTTACCCCTGAATGTACAAATGAATGATGTGAGATGTGAACATCTAAACGGGGAATCATGCGAATGTTTACATAAATATTTACTTTACAAGAGGATTAAGGAAATCGATTTCATTTGTACTAAATTTAGGGATGAAAAATCAAATATACCCCAAGGCAAGGAACTCTACACGACATCTCATTTCTGTCTTAGAGATTGGCATGCTATCAATGAGATTCAAAACGGTTCATTATGTGATTCCATTACGTTCAGTGCCATGTCAGTGTGCGAGGAGATGGTCTTTCCAAACAAATTGATATATTCTTTACAAAAGGAAATTGTTTCAAAGTTACGTGTAAATGGATATGTTGCTCGGATAAAACTAGCGACGTTATTTTATTACAGAAGACGACTAGGTTATTGCGTCCCTCTCCTGTCATTTGTCATCAAATCAATGGAGGCAAGCCAGGAATTTGAACTGTGTACACAAGGAGATCAGGTCACTGCGACACATCCTGTAAATATAGAGGGGATTGAGTGTGTCTATCTCACACAAAACAACAAAGGATTTCAGGTGTCAGAAATAGTTTTCAGTCCCTGCGACCAGCTTCTTATACCGCCTGATCTACAGAACGAGATGAAGAGACCAAAAACAGTGAACGGTACTCATTACGAAGGCTGGGTATTTGTCGACTCCATAGTGTACGCGTACTACCTGCTGATCGTGACGCTTCATGACATGCGTCGATACAGTGGTATCACCTCTTTGTTCAGACGGTTCCACAAAGTCTACACTCAACAACCTGGCGCCATACGGATTTTCAGAAAAGAAATGGCAAAACGATTGTACGAGCATGCCTTTATGTTGGTGTGGGCAGCTACTAAAGGTTTCACTAAACTTTCAGTGTGATCATAGTTAAAACAGGTTTCATTCATTTCTCAGAAATATTCAGCCTTGTATCCCAATGTCGCTAATGTAATCAATAATTACCTTCCAAAAAGTATAAATGATTGATATTGCGCACTGCTTTTAAAGACTGGTTTCATTTTTGTCAATGACAACAATGCGAAATAACAAAATCAAGTCATTAAAATAGAAAGGGTGTTTGATAGAATGAACATAGTCAACATTGAGACAAATAATGTATCTTGGTTTACAAATGGATTAAATAATTATGACTAATTTACATCCAATATTTTTTTCAAAATTAATACATTGTAAAGGTTGTTTTATTCGATGATTCAAATTTTTGCAGTTATATATTTTTCATGAAAATGAAGGAAACCTTTGTGGCAATCTCCTTTTTCAGAGTGTCATTTTCTTACATAATGAAAAACAAAACCTGACGTACATTGTATGTTATAACTTCTTCAGTATTGAACTAGAAAGTCAGTGAAGTAAGGCTGCTTATTCGAATGCTGCTTCAACCTCGTATCGTGGTCTTCTTTTTAAAGTTTATGTAAAATTGAGATTGCAGAGATCACTGGCAAATTCTAGGTCGAGTAAAGAGCTGTACAATGTGTATAAAAAAGTTCAATACAATATCTAGGTCTAGTCCTACTTTATCTTATTCTGTATCTATATTTAATATTTAATATCTAATCGGATCAACATGACACATGTTGACCACAAACCTAGTCAACAAATGTATACTGTTTTATACATGTGATCTCTGATATAATTCAAATTTTTTACACTGTTGGACCAGTAAAATATAGATGTAAGGGTCGGTTGGAAAGGATTTTTCATAATAATTGCTGGTTTTTGCCATCGACTTCTGAAGTATCCATATTGATAAGGGAATAGTTTGTACTCATGTTCAAGTTATGTAAAACTTGTATGTGTGCATTTATATCTATATATATATGTATGTATGGAAATCGGTCTTTCTTGTTTTTCTGTGAAACTGAGTAAGAGTTGCACTTATAAACAGATGGACAGACATACTAGGTGATTCCTATATACTCTTCCTATAACACTTCTTTGCAGAGGAGATCAAAAAAGAAAAACAAAAATAAACAAGTACTAGTGCTGCTAAGGATCATCATCAACACTGATAGTAGAAGAGTTTTTCTTTTTGGCCAAAATGTTGAAAAAAAATAGCATAAATATAGCAACAGTTGGAAACACAGACATTGACAGACACAGACAGATTTTTTTGCCTTAACAGAAAACATTACAAAATTATATTTTACCTATAGGATATTTATTGATCATTAAACACGAACACTCAGACATACATTTCAACACCTTGTTCCTATCTTACTGGACATATATCTGATCAATAACAACATGCAATGGCATTTCAGTTTTTGATTGTACACATGTCTAGATCTTTAATTGAGTAACGTACACTCATTCTGTGTTAGTCAAAAAAGCTCATCTGCAATTAAGTAATTTCTGTGGGTCAAGGCCATTTGCTTGAACAACCTTGGTGGCCCTTCATCTCAGCATGTTATGGGTCAAATATCAGTGTCCAGGTCCTCTTGGTTATTTATAAGGAGAATTCATTTCATATGTAGAAGTTGATGTCAGACCACAGACAGACAACTGATGCTGTGTCATTGTATAATCTTGCATGCCCATTGGCAGTTTTCCTTTGATATCTCCGAGATGATTGAAGCATCTGACTCACGAATAAATGGTCACTTATTAATTGGCTGGACTGAACTTTCACTTAATTCACCACTATAGGGATATTCAAATTATGGTATCCACCTAGCAAGCTGAAACAATTTACCTCACAAATAACGAACGTACAATGATAAATCACCTCAAAAGTATCAGAACTACAACGGCAATTACCCCATAAGTAAGGGATATTGCAACAACAAATCATCGTCCCACAAGTTTCCCTGAGCCAGATTGACTGTGGTCTAGATACCATATCATAAACCTACTTACCTTTAAACACTTTAAACAGGTGCACTTACACTTTTAAATGAATTTATTCAGCTAGGATGTAGAATGTAGAACCTTACAACCTATATATTAATACATGTATTATTAATCATCACATGTACACTTGTGTTTCTGTATATGATGTTGCCATCTAGACACTTTTCCACAGATATCACACTTGTAAGGCTTCCCTTTCGTATGTAAAGTGTAGAATACATTCACCTTATTTTCCTTATTAAATCCTTAACCATAGACATCGCACATGTATGCACACTCTCCTGTATGCATTCTCATGTGTTTGTGTAAGCCACTTGATTGTTTAAATTTTTTGCCACACACATCACACATGTAAGGCCGCTCTCCTGTATGTGTTCTCATGTGTTTCTGTAGATCACCTGACCAAACAAACCCATTACCACATACATCACACATGTATGGTTTCTCACCTGTATGTGTCCTGAGATGTCCCTGTAGGGCAACTAACTGACAAAATCTCCTATTACACACATCACACTTGTGAGGCTTCTCTCCTGTATGTATCCTATTGTGCATTTTAAGTGAAGTTGCTTCATTAAACCCCTTACCACAGAATTCACACTTGTGTCGTCTCTGTTCTGAATGTGTTCTGAGGTGTACCTTTAGGGTACTTGTCCGAATATAGGCCTTACCACATACATAGCACTCATAAGGCTTTTCTCCTGTATGTAGCCTGAAGTGTCCTTCTAGAGTATCGGACTGAATAAATCCCTTACCACAGATACCACACTTGTACGGCTTCTCTCCTGTATGCATCTGCAAGTGTTTTTGAAGTCCATACAAGACATAAAACTCCTTACCACAATCACCACACTTGTATGGTTTCTCTCCTGTATGTGTCCTGAGATGTGTCTGGAGGGTACTAGGCCGCGGGAAATCCTTACCACAGACTTCACACTTGTGTCGCTTACCTCCTGGACGTTTTCTGATTTGCTCCTGTTGCATGTTTGTCTGGGCAAACCCAATTTCTTCTGACATCATATGTGAATTGTTAACTTCTCCTGAACATATAAAAATATATAAAATAATAAACATTAACTTCAATTATTTTACAACAATTGGGAAACATGTTATTGAACTAACCACTCTTTTTAGCCCATATGGAAGCATGCCATAGAGTCTTATGGTGGGATTAAACTGAAGTACACCCATGTGGTTGACCAGGTATTCCCCTATGCTCACTTCTGTTTTGGGAATCAAATTTAGGCAGGTGCCCCCTCATCTTTCCATAGCCTTTCAGGAATCCAATCCTGATGTCTAGGTAAAAAGTGAGCATGTAACTTCATATATCTAATTCACAAGGAAACTTGATCATGATGACATGGGAGTCTTAATCTTGGATAGGTTTTTTTTCAAATCTCTGATTTCTTTTCTAAAATCAGTAAAGATGGCTGTGGTAACCTTAGGTACACTCACTAAACTGATGAAGTTGCATATAGTACAAGTATAGTAATCAACATATTTATTTTTCTTAAATAATTTTTTGACTTATTCAGATTATTATACATGTTTGTAAACACGATTACTTCACAGATTTTTTTTCATTGGACAAAAGCTTAAATATAATCATGTGATTAAAGCAAATTGTAAGGGCTTTAACTTGTAGTGTATACCGAAAGGATTGTTGTGAATACATGTACATTGTAGATAGACAAGAATAACCGAGAACTACTACTACTATACATAACAAGACAATACACATCCAGCTGCAGTCTTACACAGAAATAATTATATCTGATTCAATAAAAAGAGAGAACACTTGAAATATTTATGAAATTTACACCTCTTGATTTATCTTATCTACAGTGTTTGATCTCCGACACTGTTATTTTACTGCATTGAGGCCAGTCTGGGCCATATAAGTGCTATGTATGTATGTCTACATAGGTACATATACAGCAAAACCTTACTTCTTGATTAATTGAAGACCACTTTTAATTAAAAGTAAGATCAGTTCTAAGAAAAGACACGAAGGTTTGCATTGAATTTCACCTTACTAATCAGACCACTGATCAACCACATGATATCCTGGTGTGTATATACTCTTCAGGTGTTTCTGTCTGATCAGTTACCAAGGGGTACATTTATATGGTATAGACATTTCATTGTGACCATTTTGTTGAATAGTATTACATGTACCATTGACCTAGAACACAGGTGATTTGGGTTACTGTAACATATGACACTTCCCCAGAGAATATCGTCCCAGATAGGCCATCAATATATCATCGGATGACAGTGTTTTGTTGGCATCTGTTCAGTGAATAAAAATCGGCCATGAATAATAGGCCACACATTCTTGCAATTTCTTTTGCAATGGAAGTTCAAACATGTACATCTTACATTGAAAAAATAATGATTTTAAAACAATTGTTTTTGATGACTGCTTTCTTATTCAATTTAACCAGGGACGTCTATGACTGATTTAACAAGTGAGTTGTAGAGCGACACATGAGAAAATAATCTTATTTGAAAAGTTTGTGATACGAAAAACTGTTAAGAAATATTTGAGAAACAAAGATAAAAGAATAAAAATCTTAATCTTACCCATTTGAAAAGATGCACACAGAAAAACATTTCCAACATAAATGAAATGATTATATTTGGATATCTTTTATTGAATTGTCATTCCTGTTGTAAATGATGATTTTGTTGTAAATTTTGTGCACTTTTGGGCCACTGTTAGGCTTACTCAAACTCTGTAATCAGTGATATCACCAAAAACGGAAGTATAGACACGTTCCCGATATACATGTCTGTCATTATTTCTGGTGAGCGAATTTGAGGTCGTATTTGATATCTTTCAGAAAAAATACTGGCGTTTCACCGATCACTTTATTGAATACATTTCTTAATTTGATGTCGCATTGTCATCGAGATACGATTATTATGGGGTCCGAAACTGAAGCGGCAAAGATTTCACACACTTGTAGTTGTCAAACTGTTACTCAATTACATTGTAAGCCATTGGTACTTGGTTTTTAATAAAAATGTGTTTTAGTAAACATAACCTTCATATTACACAACCTTTCGAGTAGTGCAATGTGAATGCAATGTTTAATGAAAACACGATTTCATTGAAACCATGTACGTCGTGTAAACCTCCACAAACTATTATGGCTACGTCGTCTAACCAGGGACGTAAATAACAGTTATCTACGTCCCAGGCCCCACTTGTATAAAACATCTCAACTTCAGATTTCCTCAAGTCGAGATTTTCCTCAGCTGATATCTCTTCAAAAACGGCTTGTATAAAATTTTCTCAAGGAACAGGAGGAAGGCATCGGCTAGAATGTCCTGAAATTCCTTGAGGAATTTTCATACAAGATATTTTCAAGGAAATATTAGCTGAGGAAAATCTCGACTTGAGGAAATCTCAAGTTGAGATGTTTTATACAAGTGGGACCTGGTCTAACCAAGTATCGTAAGAGCGACTGTAATTTGTTCAATATCGATATGTTTACATGTTTTTGAATATCCGTATAGTCTATTTAAATACTAATGTTTCAAAATTAAGACATTGCTTATGTGACAATACATATTCGATATCGTACTGTGACAATGATTCATTTTCCACTTACCAACACTGGCGTTAAGCTGGCCGGCAATAACTCAATCTCTAGCCGGATCAACGTATTCATACTTCCGGTTCTCTTATCGGATAGTCTTGTCTGGTATCAAGCATAACTACTTGAAGAGCAGCAAGTACCAGCGTTTTAACATAGGCCAGGTGGATATTTATATGCCTTGCTAATGACGATTGCTTGTTGAATCCAAAAAAATACATAATTTTTTTTTTCACACGCAGGTTAAATTTGTTTAGTTTCATTCAAAGAATTTATCCTATTTTTCAGAATTTCATTAGGACCGAGATAAAGTGAAGTGTGAATCTATAACCAGCAACATTAAAGTATTGTAGGTAATATGTATTTTTTAAATTTCAGTTTATTCCTACATATCACTAATCTATTCCCATTGTTATAAGAAAATCTTCAACTGACTTAAATGCTGATGCAAAACAGATTTTAAAATCATTAATCAATTTTAATATACTGTACTGTATACCAAACAATTATTGTTAGCATGCAATGAACAGTATATATAAATGACATAATTTTTCTTTTATCAGGTTTGATATAAACCAGAAAATCCCGATCTCAACTACTGTTAGTCCAAATATGGCTTCTCCATTAGGTTTGTCTTTTTACAATAGTCTAATTGCTAACTATTATCAATTGACTTAAATTCTTAACCACAATTTAGATATTCTATACACTTTTTCAATGAACATTGTTCTTTGAACAGATGAAGTATGTCAGAGTTTATTACCATGGCTGTGGTTATTTACTTATGTGGACCAAGATTATTTTTTTGCTGAAATGCATTTAAAAAGTTCCTCATGGTACAGTCTACAGTACATTGTATTTGCCTGTCATGTGTTTTAAAATGTATGTACATGTAACAATTATTTCCACCCAGGTAATCATGACTCTGCATTCTTCAGATATATGAAGTATAGTAATATTCTTGATGCTTTGTGGGGTTTCTGTTGTTGTGTTTCAGGTTATGGATATGGTTACGTCTTTATCAGCGAGGTACATAGAGTAACAAATGATACCAGACTTTGATCATTACGTGATTGTGCTGGAAACTCTTTTTTCTTAAATTCTCTAAATAGACATTAGAAACATTGCTATCAGATTTTTTTCTCTGATTTACAAAATGCCATTTCACACTGATGTCTTTGCAGGTCCACATACTTATGATGGAATTGTTAAAGTAGACATGAAAGTAACTAGGTAGGTTTTGTTTTAAAAACAAAAACAAAATGAGGATAATGTTTGCTTTTCTACCATACTGCGAATGATAATGGTAAAGACCTTTAGCAAAGATCTTGAAATTCTGGCATCCAGTGAAAAAATTCATCTAAAGTATTTAGCACCATTGTTCATTTATAATGCCAGCGACATGACTTTGACCTTGAGACTTGAGAGAGCACTGAATGAAGTTTGAGTGGAACTGATAAAAAAGAACTTTTCTGACAATATAACCCAAAAAGACAAATTGGTGAGATGACAGACTAACGGACGGACTTCAGAAGTCTAAGCTGATTAAATTTACTATGAACATTTTTTCGTGAAATTTTGCACTCAGCGTTATATTACTTTAATTGCATCATCATCTGTTTGATTACATATAATCAATGTAGCCCAGGTGTGATCTATTTAAACCTTAACCAGCTACAGGCAAATGAATCACAGAAACATTGCCATATGCAAGACACAGGGTCATGATACTGTTCAATCGCAACATCAAAGCAACACAATGATGGTAACAGATTGTACCTGCACTCTACAGGGTCACAAGTCTGTTCAATGTAAGCAATGATGAGTTTGTATTTGATCTATGAGGCTCCGAAGTAATATCAAGAACAAGAAGTAATCAAAGATAAAGCGTAGTTCAACAACAATATCCTACCTTGTCTGTTTCATTCTGATACATGAAACATGTATTATAACTTTCAACTATAATAGCATAATGTGACTGCACACTATCGTGATTCTCAAAAATTCACGACAGAAACTTTATAACGCCTCCCCCGCCCCTCCTCGAACAGATATGAAGAACCTCCGGTTGCTCGGTCATTCAAATGCACACCGTCATTCTCAAAGCATGAAATGGGTATATTTTTATGGCGCCACACCGAAATCCGAGTGCATGATTGTAATATACGGAATTCCAGTATTTCGTTCACGGATTTTCTCTTGATTTCGAACATGCCAGGAGAAATAATCCGTGTCCGATGACGAATTAGCTTAGAACCAGTGCAAATGGTCAGGTGAGGCATTTCAGACATGACGGAATGACAACATCCGAGAAGTGCGCCAAACCACGTGTTCAGCCGAATAATTCCAGTCAATATAAGATCCTCCAAGCTGAATAAAAATCAAATCCGGCATAAAAGTGAATAGCTGGTTACGTCACGTTAATAGGTCCTTCGCCTTGGCAACACCCTCCCCTATAAACTTCGTCACAGTGGTGCCATAGACGAATTCATCCTTCACTATTCGGGCAATGTGACTGGATCCCATTGATGGCGATACGATGAAGTTTCTTCTTCGGGTGGACAATCGATTCTCCACCAGAAAAAGAAACTTTTCTGTCACCTTCGCCGCCAAGACACATGGTCAACTTCATGCTTTTATCAAAAGACATGATGAACTAATTAGATTATACTTAGTATTTATAATATCTAGAAGTTCACCTGTAAATTAATGCGTTTGTCTCAGTATTTTCTGATTTCAAAAAGACGCGGTGAGACTAACTTCCGGTAATTTCTGCTAGTTTAAAGTAGTCGATAACCTTATTGCGGACTAGCTTGACTTTACCTACAAAGATATGTTATTGTTGTGCCGGAAGTTCTTGGCAACGAGTACACAACTTGCTGGCAAACGGACAGTCCGGAGTTTTTCTCTTTCGGGAGTTTGTAATAAATAAATAGATGAACAATAATAATAATAATAAAAACAAACAAACAAACAACATTTTCGTGTACGATCACATCATAGTTGTGTAAACAAAACATCCAGTTTTCTAAATAACTTGTCGAACCAGATCTGAAAATATATCTGTAAGAAATAAGAAACATCTCCTCTGTAACATAATAACATGGACTTAAAATAGCCATCTATTCGATCAGTCCCTGTCTATTCTAAGTCCCTGATAATATTTTATAGAGATTACTAAACCTGAAGCTAATCTAGGTACAGCATCGACTGAAACAAAGCATCAGCGATGCTTAAATATGTCCCCATAAGTTTATCATCCCGGTATAGAAATGTCAGGGAAAAAAAAAAAAAAATAAAAAAAATAAAAATAAAAAAATAAAAAACAGGGATGAGATGGAGTACTTATCGCTACCAACAACCAATACGTCAACTTGTGGTTCTCCAAGGACCCCGGCTCAAATGGTATCAAAACAAAACTCTTGAAAGAACTTGTTATGACATTCCAGTATTCTTTATTGGTCGTACGACTCTCGACTTCCTTACCCACAAAAATGGATCTGGGTGCGATGCAGAAAACTAATATATACTATATCTCTTGAATGTGTAGCAAACTTGTTGAGAACAGTATAATATTGTTAGAATAGCATTATGTTTCGTGTAGACTATACCTAAATCTACTGTATCCCCTCCACCATACAGTCCAAGTTAAATGAATGGAGCAGTACAGCATGATATGTGCATTGGTGAGTCAGTTTGAGTGAAACAACTCTGACGGTGCAGGTTAGCACAAGTTTCAAAACCAAAGTCATAGATAGTTCGAGAGCAATACATATCTTAATTTTAAAAAAGTAAAGATTTAAAATAAAAGATAAAATAACTGAATCCCGGTCATTTTTCTGCAATCAGTGGTCCAACAGTGTATTCTGACGAGTGGGCTAACATTAATTCGGCCAATCTGGGAACTTGAGAAAGTCGTGATCGTTTTGTTTACCGTCAGAAAATATTTTAGTTGTAAATCTAGATAAAATACGAACGAAGTCTTCGGTTATTATTTCATTTGGTTTTAACATATATGCTGGAAATGGTTAAGATGATTAATTTGGGAAATTCATATATACTTATGAAATTGCTAGCCAGAGACGTATATATGTATGTCTCTGTTGCTAGCACATACGTATACATTCAAAATGCTTATTGATTTTAATTAAATGATATTTGATCATTCAGATGGGGAACATTTCACTCCAACATTTTAACCATTTACCGACTAAAATGAAAAGTAATTCGTTAACTCTTTATTAATATACAAAATTGAATGACGATTCCTTTCTTGGTCGGATACGGGTTTTCTGGTCCGGATCCGGGAACGGAATAGAATGTACCTTACCACATCCGCAAGGAGGAACACAATATTTAATCGTGTTCGGTGTTTTACACATGTAAATGTACATTGACAGTGTTCAGTCTGAGTTCACAAGCTCAAACCGGAAAAGTAGGTTTTACACGACGAGCTTTTTTAGCGTTTGAAAAATGTTGTTGGGCATCATATTGACATATTTAGGCTTTGTCGACACCCAACCATTGTACTGGGATGTGGAGTCTGTACAGATCATAGATACATGAATTATGTCTGGTGCAAACCTTCTTTAAAAATGAAATAAAAAAAAAATTGTCCGCCAAGAGACATTAATTGCATGCCCCTTTCACTTTTTGACATAATCACGATGTCTTACTGGTTATTATCTGCACAGTACTTCAGTGTAAAATTGAACAAGTAGGCTTAGCTTGCATCAAGAAAAAAACTGATCAGCTATATGTATTGAAAGAAAATAATTTTATGTGCTTAGACTTTTTTAAGTTTCCGTAATACTAATTGAATGTCATTGGTTATGTGGCAGGATCGACTTTTAATATAATATGAATTGTATTGTCTACGTAATTGTAAACTCTTGTTGGTAAGTTTACGTTTATACTGTATCTTGTTCATTAGTCACTTGCATACCTAAGTGGTTAGTCTCGTTATTGCCTTTTTATATAGTGTCATGTGGTCATTGGTCAGTTAAATTTTGTCTTACGTCG